CGTGCGACGGCGATTACGACGCGTCGGCGTTTGCCGATTTCCGATCGCTGCTCGACCTGAGAGTCGACGCCGCGGTCGCGGGGAGGGACCCGCGCGCGCAGGGCGAGGTCATCCTCGACGAGGACGACGCGCTCGCCGCGGCGGCGGGCGACGAAGCCTCCCTCGGCGAGGCGTTCGCCGCCGTCTCCGCCGACGCGCTCACGCCGCGATGGCCCACCCCGGACGCGCTCGCGGCGATCCCTCCGACCGCGGAGGCGATTCTCGACGCGCTGCGGCCGCTGTCGGAGCTGCGAGGCGCGGTGGGGGACCAGAGGGACGTGCAGCGGTGCCTGATCCTCGGCCGGACCCGCGAGCTGGTGACGGACGCGATCACGCGGTGGATCTTCCCGGACGAAAAAGACGTCGGGGACCGAACCGGCGACGGCGCCGACGCCGACGCCGACGCCGACGACGCCGAGACGCTCCTCGCGCCCGCGCCGTCCGCTCCCCCCAGCCTCCTGCGCTTCGCCGCGCACCTCCTCCTCTTCCTCCAGGCGCTCCTCCCCGACGGCGGCGGCCTCGCGCCCGGCGGCGCGCTCTACGCGCGCGTCAACCGCGTCCTCTACGCGTACGCCGACCATCTCGTCGCCGAGCGTCGACACGAGCTCGCGCCGCGGTACGCGCGTCACCTGCGGCCGGACCTCCTCGTCCGCGCGTACGCTCGCTTCCTCGACCGCCTCGCGCCGACGTCCGCGGAGACCAAGGCGCGATGTCTGCGAGACGCGTCTGAGTGGATCGAGCTCGAGGGCGAGGGCGGGTTAAGGTGCGTTCTATACACTGGTTCCCATACGACCGCGCTGGCGTGGTGAACGCCGATCCTTAAGGACTTTGCCCGGCGTGTCTCTCCGCCCACCCCTCGCTTTCAATCCCCGCCCTCGGCGCCTTTCAACTCCAACTGACGCCTTTCAACTTCTAAGGGCGATCGTCTCGAGGACGCTGGACGAGAGTCGGGAGGTTGTCGACGCGTCCGGCGCGCCGACGACGCGCGCGAGCTCGCGCGGGCCCGCGCACCGCGAGCGTATATTGGAGTGGGCGTGCCTCGCGGGGAAGGCGCTGCATCCGGAGGCGGCGTCGCACGCGTGCGCGCTCGTGAGGCAGCTGTGTTTGCAGCGGTCCGCGGCGCTCGCGACGTTGGTACCCCCTGACGAGACGCGCGGCGGCGGCGGCGCGTCTTCCTCGAATGAGCAAGACTCCTTCGGCGACGACGCGACGCGGCCGGCCGAGCCTCCGCCGGAATCCCCGGCGACGGGAAGGTTTAAGCGAGCGGCGAATCTCGTGAAGACGCAGGTGCGCGTCGTGAACGCGTTTCACAGCGCCGGCGACGCCGTCGTCCGCGGCGAGACGCGCGCGCGCGGCGTCGTCGCCGAAATTCTCCCGGCCGACCTCCTCGTCAACGCCGCGGAGGGCGGCGCCCCCGGCGCGGCGAACGAGCTCGCGGACTGGGCCGCGTACCTCGCCGCGGCGAACGCGGTCGGGACGTGGCGAGAGCTCTCGATCGCGCGCGACGACGCCGCCGCCGCGGGGCTCGACGACGGCGCCGGAATCGGCGGGGGGGACGACGACGCGGCGACGTCGTTGCCGGCTATGACCGCGGAGGCGGGCGCGAAGGCGCTCGACGCGATATTAGCGCTGACCGCACCGAGGCGACGCGACGCGGCGACCGCGTTCATCCCGCGTGCGACCGGAATCGGCGGCGCGGGACGACGACGACGATCTGTGGCTCGAGTCGCCGGCGCTGTTCGACGCGAACGAAGCGGCGACGGCGGCGGAGAATTCGACGCCGCCGCCGGCGGCGCGCGTCTTCGCCGTGCCGGTGCCGATCGCGCCGCCGGCGTCGCCGAACGAGCGCGCTATGCCCGTCGCGGACTTCGCGCGGCTGTTGCAGCGCGCGATCGAGGCGCGACGCGCGGAGTTGGGCGTCCGCGCGCGCGGGATCACGGTGCACGCGGAGGGCGTCCGCGGCGTCGTCGGCGAGGGCGCGCGTCCGATCGCGGCGGCGGGGCAAGTCATGCTCGAGCTCGCGGCGTCGTCGGACGTCGACGTCGACGTCGACGCGTCGCGCGACGCGCTCGTGCAGCTCCTCTCCGACGCGATCAAGGGCGACCTCCCGTGGGACGTCGCCGTCGCGGGCCCCGGCGGCGGCGGCGGCGCGGCGGCGCACCCGCCGGACCGGGGGACGATTCACAGGGCGCACCACGCGCTCGAGGTGCAGTCCGCGGACGGCTCCGATCCGGAGATTGTCCGCGCGACGTGCCGACGCGTGTGCTGGCCGTCGCTGCTGTTGGAGGCTGCGGAGATCGAGGCGGACTTGGGCGGCGGAGGGAGGGCGGTCGCGGAGCGCGTCGCGGACGCGTCGAGAGGGCTGCACGCGATGTTTTCGACGCGCGAGACGCGTTGGCTGCTGCAGCTGCAACGCCGCGGAGAGTTGCGGGCGATCGCGAGCGGCGTCGTCCAACCGTGAGTGAGACGATTCTTCTAATATAAACGCGACGCGAGTACACTACCTACGCTGCGCGACGCTACTTTCTAGGTTCGCCCGATCGTTCAGGGCGTCCAGAATACGGCGCGTGCCTGCGGTGTTGCCCCCCGCCGCGGTCGCCGCCTCTCGGCGCCGACCCCCCCGGCGGCGCCGCCGCCGAGTACGGCTGCCGATGCGGCTGCCGATGCGGCTGCGGCGCCGCCGGGTGCGGGTGACGATACGGCGTCATCTGCGGCGCCCCCCCCGTCGGTTGATGATACGCCCCGGGAGGCGCCGGCGCCGGCGCCGGTATCATCATCATCATCATCGGACCCGGCGGCGGCGGGCGCGCGGGCGCGTGCGGCGGCTGGTGCGGGTGGTGATACGGCATCGGCGGCGGCGCGGTCGTCGGCGGCCTCTGCGGCCCCGCCCCCGGCGCCGGCGTCATCTGCGGCCCCGGACCCGGACCCGGCGCCGCGGAAGAACCCACGGGCACGAGCACGTACTCGTATTGCGGCGGCTGCGGATGATGCCGCGGCGGCGGCGGCTGCGGATGATGCCGCGGCGGGCCCGGGCCCGGGCCCGGCGCTCCTCCCCCCCCTCCGCCGCCATCGCGGCCGTAGTGCGCGTTCCTATCCGGCGCGTCGTTGACCGCTTCGATCTCTTTCCCCGCGACGTTTCTCTCCCCCCTTTCGAACGCCGCCTTGGCCTTCTGAGCGCCCTCCGCGGCGGCGAACGTCACGAAACAATACGGCTGGAGTTCAAAGGCGTCAGTTGGAGTTGAAAGGCGTCGAGGGCGGGGATTGAAAGCGAGGGACCCTATGCGGAGAGATGCGCCGGCAAAAGTCCTTAAGGAACGGCGTTCACCACGCGGACGGGGTCGTATGGGGACCAGTGTATAGAACGCACCTGCTTCTCGCCCGTGATTCGATGCTTCGGCACGTACACGTCCGTCACGACGCCGTGCTTACCGAAGTGCGCCTTGATCCCGTCGACGCTGTGCCCCGGGTAGGCGTTGTCGATCCCGCCGACGTACACGCGCGGACCCGCGCCCTTGCGCTCGCGCTCTGCCGCGCCCGTCGACGACGAGGGGGCGCTTCCGTGACTCCCCCTTCCGTCGCCGTCCCCGCCGCCGCCCCCGCCGTCGGGTTGCCTCGGTTTCCTCCCCGCGTAGCTCACCGGGACTTTCACGCCGGTGATGTCGTGCGTGGCCGCGTGCGCGAGCGCTTTCTCCATCCCCTCTTCGTCATGGAACGTCGTGAACCCGTACGAGCGCGGCTGTCCCGTCTGCGGATCTCGAGGGACGTACACGTCGAGGACTTTGCCAAACTTGGCGAAGTGCAATCGCAGCGTCTCGCGCGACAGGTCCATGCTGTTGTGGTAGATGCGGAAGTCCGACTCCCCGGAAGGCGCGAAGACCGGGACGTCGCCCGGCATCGCGTCCCGCCGGCCGAGTCGTGGGCGCGCGGCGCGGCGTGTGACGCCGCGTAGTCGATCGATCGACGATTTATTTCCGCGCTTCGACCAGACACGCACTCGTCGCGCTCGCGGCGCTCAACTGAAGAAGTCTCTCGTTCTGTTTGACCCTCGCGCCACTGTCCATCGTCCGCGCGCGTCCACCGCACGCCGCGCGCGATGACAGACGTCATGAGCG